GTTTTGAGACTCTCTGATCGCGGGTTCTATCCCTGTCCGTGGTATGGTTTGTTTGCAATAGTGTCATTACAATTTCGTGAGTCATGTCAACCAGGTACTCATTTTACTGATGGGTGAACATAGACAATCAGTGTTTCCACGCCTTCGCCAGGAATCGAACCCGAACCCTTACCGTGTGAAGCGAGAGCTTTTGCCACTAGGCCACGGGGCCTAGTGGTTATTGTGGATCGCTGCGTTGAGGAAGCTGTGGAAGAAAACGCAAAACAGCACTTCACAGAGACAAGGTTATCATAAGAACATATGAAATAAGGAACACTGCAACAGGCCCACTGACCCATGCGGAGCAGGTCCATGTCACCCCTCCCCCCGCATTAGCCCAATGACCCCCGGATTAGCCCAATGACCCCCCCCACCCGGATTAGCCCAATGACCCACCAGTCTGGTCACCTCCAGTCAAGGAAGGCGCACGGCACCAGACCCAGCAACAAGAAAACCAGCAAAGATCTACAGAGATATTTGGCTTCACCTGACGTAAATGTTGATTCTTCAACTGTTCGAGGAAGGCTTCTTGAAGTTGGCAGAACTGCCAGAAAGCCGGTGAAGAAACAATTGTTGACTGCTGCTGTGAAGAAAAAATGGCTGTGGTGGCAACTCGATAAGGGATTCAATTCAATTCAATTCAAAGTTTATTCTCTATAAAGATTACAATGTTGAATTTACAGAATTTGGTTGTTGTGTGGTTTACATGTAGTTAAATAATGATTAAAGAGTGTACGGACGACAGCATGGAGAAAGCTTATATTTTAAGATGAGACGCATTTTGAAGTACATGGGTACAGATCAGTGGTAGTGAGACGGAGCTAATAAAGCGAACCTTTTCAGAATGGACACATTCAACAAGCACCAAAAACCCACCTAAGAATCTGTTTTGGGGTGGTTTTACCGTTAAAGGCCCTGGACGGCTTATTATTGCTGAGGGAACGATGAACAGTGACAAATACAAGGTAATCCCAGCAACTTATTTGCTTTCCATTGTAAATAGAGACTTACATAGTGAATAAGGCATTTTCCTGCTAGCAGGATGTTGCTCCATGCTACACTTCCAGAAAAATGCTGACATTCTTTGAAAAGAGTTGGCTAAACACTTTAAATTGGCCTAGAAACTCTCCTGATGTCAACCCAACTGAGAATCTATGGGCAATAACCAAACACAGGATCGCAAAACAAGACTATTCAACTGTGGAGAAGCTAATGACTATTGTTACTAGGACCCCAATGGAAATAAGTCACTCTGTCTGACTTTTTTGGGTTATCCTAGGTTCTCTACACATATGCTGCTATGTATGATAATTCTATGTAACTGTATTTGTGTATACCTGAATAAACTTACTTACTTACTTACCTGGTGCCACAACAAAGACATTGCCAAAATGTGTTCATCATTGGTCGAGTGTACGCCAGAGCTTGTAGCAATGCTTGTAAAAACAAAGAGTAGTCATTTCTGTTATTTCATTAATCCCAGTTAATATGCACACTACTGTAACATGTATGGCGTTATTAAACCTATAGTATTTCAACACTTCCTCCAGCTCCCTGAGGTGGGCCGTATTCCCGGGACAGTGTAGGCATTTCTTCTCTGAGAAAACAGCAGCTGCAACAGTGCGGTGGTGTTAAACATTAGCTGCAACAGTGCGGTGGTGTTAAACAGCAGCTGCAACAGTGGCGGTGGTGTTAAACAGCAGCTGCAACAGTGCGGTGGTGTAAAACATCAGCTGCAACAGTGCGGTGGTGTAAAACATCAGCTGCAACAGTGGCGGTGGTGTAAAACATCAGCTGCAACAGTGCGGTGGTGTAAAACATCAGCTGCAACAGTGGCGGGGGTTTGTAAAACAGCAGCTGCAACAGTGGCGGTGGTGTAAAACAGCAGCTGCAACAGTGCGGTGGTGTAAAACATCAGCTGCAACAGTGGCGGTGGTGTAAAACATCAGCTGCAACAGTGCGGTGGTGTAAAACATCAGCTGCAACAGTGCGGTGGTGTAAAACATCAGCTGCAACAGTGGCGGTGGTGTAAAACAGCAGCTGCAACAGTGGCGGTGGTGTAAAACATCAGCTGCAACAGTGGCGGTGGTGTAAAACATCAGCTGCAACAGTGCGGTGGTGTAAAACATCAGCTGCAACAGTGCGGTGGTGTAAAACATCAGCTGCAACAGTGGCGGTGGTGTAAAACATCAGCTGCAACAGTGCGGTGGTGTTAAACAGCAGCTGCAACAGTGGCGGTGGTGTAAAACAGCAGCTGCAACTGTGGCGGTGGTGTAAAACAGCAGCTGCAACAGTGCGGTGGTGTAAAACAGCAGCTGCAACAGTGCGGTGGTGTAAAACAGCAGCTGCAACAGTGGCGGTGTTAAACAGCAGCTGCAACAGTGGCGGTGGTGTTAAACAGTAGCTGCAACAGTGGCGGTGGTGTTAAACAGCAGCTGCAACTGTGGCGGTGATGTTAAACAGCAGCTGCAACAGTGGCGGTGGTGTTAAAATGCAGCTGCAACAGTGGCGTTGGTGTAAAACAGCAGCTGCAACAGTGGCGGTGGTGTTAAACAGTAGCTGCAACAGTGGCGGTGGTGTTAAACAGCAGCTGCAACAGTGGCGTTGGTGTTAAACAGCAGCTGCAACAGTGGCGGTGGTGTAAAACAGCAGCTGCAACAGTGCGGTGGTTTTAAAACAGCAGCTGCAACAGTGCGGTGGTGTTAAAACAGCAGCTGCAACAGTGGCGGTGGTGTAAAACAGCATCTGCAACAGTGGCGGTGGTGTTAAACAGCAGCTGCAACAGTGGCGGTGGTGTAAAACAGCAGCTGCAACAGTGCGGTGGTGTAAAACAGCAGCTGCAACAGTGGCGGTGGTGTAAAACAGCAGCTGCAACAGTGGCGGTGGTGTTAAACAGCAGCTGCAACAGTGGCGGCGGTGTTAAACAGCAGCTGCAACAGTGGCGGTGGTGTTAAACAGCAGCTGCAACAGTGGCGGTGGTGTAAAACAGCAGCTGCAACAGTGGCGGTGGTGTTAAACAGCAGCTGCTACAGTGGCGGTGGTGTAAAACAGCAGCTGCAACAGTGGTGGTGGTGTAAAACAGCAGCTGCAACAGTGGCGGTGGTGTAAAACAGCAGCTGCAACAGTGGCGGTGGTGTTAAACAGCAGCTGCAACTGTGGCGGTGGTGTAAAACAGCAGCTGCAACAGTGCGGTGGTGTAAAACAGCAGCTGCAACAGTGGCGGTGGTGTAAAACAGCAGCTGCAACAGTGGCGGTGTTAAACAGCAGCTGCAACTGTGGCGGTGGTGTTAAACAGCAGCTGCAACAGTGGCGGTGGTGTAAAACAGCAGCTGCAACAGTGCGGTGGTGTAAAACAGCAACTGCAACAGTGGCGGTGGTGTTAAACAGCAGCTGCAACTGTGGCGGTGGTGTAAAACAGCAGCTGCAACAGTGGCGGTGGTGTTAAACAGCAGCTGCAACAGTGGCGGTGGTGTAAAACAGCAGCTGCAACTGTGGCGGTGTTAAACAGCAGCTGCAACTGTGGCGGTGGTGTAAAACAGCAGCTGCAACTGTGGCGGTGGTGTAAAACAGCAGCTGCAACAGTGGCGGTGGTGTAAAACAGCAGCTGCAACAGTGGCGGTGGTGTTAAACAGCAGCTGCAACAGTGGCGGTGGTGTAAAACAGCAGCTGCAACAGTGGCGGCGGTGTTAAACAGCAGCTGCAACAGTGGCGGTGGTGTTAAACAGCAGCTGCAACAGTGGCGGTGGTGTTAAACAGCAGCTGCAACTGTGGCGGTGGTGTTAAACAGCAGCTGCAACAGTGGCGGTGGTGTTAAACAGCAGCTGCAACAGTGGCGGTGGTGTAAAACAGCAGCTGCAACAGTGGCGGTGGTTTTAAAACAGCAGCTGCAACAGTGGCGGTGGTGTAAAACAGCAGCTGCAACAGTGGCGGTGGTGTAAAACAGCAGCTGCAACAGTGCGGTGGTGTAAAACAGCAGCTGCAACAGTGGCGGTGGTGTTAAACAGCAGCTGCAACAGTGGCGGTGGTGTAAAACAGCAGCTGCAACAGTGGCGGTGGTGTAAAACAGCAGATGCAACACTGAGTCACTGAAAAAGAAAGCATGTTACTCTTGGGTCCTTGGTTTCCCTGATGGATTTGTCGCCTAATTCCTTGAGAAACATTAGTACACACTTGCCTCATGCTCCGAGGGTCTACTATCCTATCGAAAATAAATTATAACATGGTGCCAGCGTCCTGTATTGGTGGACTCTCTGGGTCCTCCTGTAAATAAGTTTCTGTAGGCATAGGTACACATAAGTATAATTATCATACAAAGACACCAATTGAAATAAGTCATTTTGTCTGACTTTTTTATTGGGTCATCCTAGGTAATTTGCATGTTACTATATATGATAATTTGTGTAACTGTATTTATGTGTACCTGTATCTAAATAAATTTATTTACATAGTGCAAATTATCTAATTAACCCATTGGGGTCCTGAAATGTGTTAATTAAATTTGCGACTTAAACATTTGTATAGTTATGTTTTGCGAAGTATTTTCATAACGTGTGTGTGTTTTACAGATGTGATAATTAGACATTAGAAAAGCTCAGTGTTTACTAGAAGTAAAAAAAATACATACACGAAATGACTGAATGAAATTGGAATCCTAAGGTTAAGAAGAAATGGTGAATACTAACGGTTATAATAAGATTCAGAGAAGCTTGATAAATTAAGTAATGTATGTAAATGAAAAAGAAGAGCCAGCTTTAGCTTTATTCTTAATTAAAAAAACACACACGGCATCAACCTTCACCATTACAGCTTCAAAATCGAACTTTTTTTTCTTTGGGCTGGTTACGCCCAACGTGTTTTATCTAAATACCCTTAGTCCCACGAGACATAAACTACCTCTTTTTGAAATAGACGCAATCAAATCTATTTTTTGAGTAGGACAACATTGTTTTCTAGCAGAATATTAATTAGTTTAAGTGAGAGAGAAGAACCACGGGAGAGGCGCAACTATCTGCCATTGTTTAGGGACGGCCATATTGGATCCTAGGTTGTCCAGGCTTCTCTCATCTTTTTTCTAATTCCGCTGCTCAGGTAGGATTACCGAAGTCATTTTTCAATTTAGGTGAAGTCTGTGTGTGTCAAAGATCACCGGTGGTGTGTTAATGGTGGAATTTGTCTCCTCCAACGAGAGTAAAGCTCGGTAAATGGCCGACTGGACGGGTTTCAGGCTGATAACTTTAATATTCAATGAATTCTTTTAAGCGTAACAGGAACAGGAGAAAAGACTTGCCAGTAGTCTCGGGATGCGCTAGTCCTTGACGCTCTTTCTAGTAGTTATTTAATTTTTTACAGGTGACATTGAAAGGGCAAATAGAGGGTATTGAAGGGGCAACACCGTCACCCTCAGGCTGGAAATCTCCTTCACTTACTGATCATAATACACTACAATACCACTCCAGAAACAACATTATTTTACGTATTATTATTTTTATGTAACCGTATTAATCGTCCAGCTAAATATTCAACTCCAAACTAATCAAATTCTTTGCTACTTTATTGCTCAGTGAGGAACATTTTATTCAGATTATTAACTTGGTTTAGTAAGCCAAGAGAACCCAATAAGGTTATTATATCTGGCTTACTTTCATTGGGTTCCTTTGATCCACTTCATCAGGATGATACACATAACAGTCAACTAACAGTCAGGTACCTACTTACTACTAGGTGAAGAGGGCAGCAGAGGGTATGGAAACGTGCCCTACGTTTCCACACGCGCTGGGCTCAACCTTGGGTCCTTCAGATGTGAGCTGAAGATTCTAACATTTTTAACTACAAGCCTTCAACTTGTGGCTATTTTTGAATGTTACTCCTTGGCAGAACTTAGGTACTGACTACTATGCATTAGTTTACATAGTACAGTGCTACAAGCTACTTACAATACAGAATAAATTAGTATTCTTTTGCAAATTGTTATTTTGGGGAATAGCAAAAATGTCACATTTGGTAGTTCAGCAGGATCCCAAGAGAATAGTCACTTGACTTTTTTTTAGGTTATCCTAGGTAATTTACATGTATGTTACTATGTATGATAATCTGTGTAACAGTATTTGTGTGTACCTTTACCTAAATAAACTTAATGTTCACTTGTCGTACCTCGTCAAATGTAAACAAAGATATAACAGGATCAGTTGTAGAGGTGAGGTTAAGTTAAGTTATGTTAGATTAGGGTTGGTGGATTTAGTTAACTTTGGTTACATTTTTTACCATTTGCTTAACAGAATAAGGTAATAGCTTACAACTGCAACTCAGACGATTTTTGTTCATTAATTATACCTTGAATTGTAAAATATTAAGTGAATTTTACAATGAGGATAGTGTTTTACCATGCAAATGATAAAAATGTAACCTAACCTATCCAAAATACCCTAATATAACTTAACCGTGTCTCTGCCATCAGTTGGCTGCGTCTGTTTAAATTTAGCTGGTGCATGACATGATTTGGTGCAAAGTGCTGATTGAGCAAGACTTCCTGTGCAACCAAAATTAATGTACAGTGCTATTTTTGCTGTAATTGGTATCTCTCAGAATAGCAGTTTGTGCAAGAAATCCTTTTGTTGTGGTGTGCCTAGGTGGTATGTATGGTAAAAATGTAAGCTGATTTCATCTGAATAATAGTAACCAAAATACTAATATTTTGAACTTCAAACTATAATTAATGGCCAAAATTAGCTGAGTAGCAATTGCAGACTATTACTGGTATTTCTTCAACAACAATTTTGCTAGTATGTCTTCCATTTTATCGATTGAGCACAAGAAACTGCCCAAATCAACTTTCAGCTACCCACTAAAGTGATCAGAAATTGTTAATTTGGCCAGTTTCACACAAATTTCAAAATAGGGTCCAGAACAAACAATGCATGCATTCCTGGTACTAAAATAACATTTCCTCTGTTCATTATTTATATTCCCAGGCTTTACACATGAATTCTATTTTGATTTTTTATTCACACAAAAAAATAGAAGATTTACTGTTATGCAGTATTATAATACATAATTATATAAATAATATCAATGCATCCATGAATATATATTAGATCCACCAGTTGGACGTAGTATATTGGATGAGTAAAGTCATTTGTTTACTCTTGAATGTTAGTAAAAATCGAACATTTCTGCTACTTTGAGCTCAATTTCAAGATGTTTTCACACCTGAAATCAATCAAAATCATCTCTATTTCTGTAATGTATCTTATGTTCTATCAAATGAGACCAAGAAACTGAGAATACAACCATAAAAACCGTAGAAAAATACACCTCAAAGTCTCCGTTTTAAGCCAGAAATACTTTCATTTTTTCTCATGCACTGCATGTTGCAGGATTTGTTTTATATGGTGCATATGTACTGCATAGATCCATTCCCTCAAATTTACCACTCACAGCTTATCTGAGTGAGCTGAGCTCATGGCATAGTACTACGGCACTGACAGTAACGTCAAACCCATAGTACGTACACCGGCATGGAGAATGGAAGGGTTAATGCATGAGTATGGCTTTATACAATTAGCCATCTCTATTATTATCAAGCAGAAAGAAATTATAAATAATATATTAAAGTGGCTGACTAATCTTACCCAGTGATAAAAAGGCAGAGAAATTATCATAGAGATGAAAAGACTTGTTATTGTGATTAGAGTGAAGAAGATTGAAGGGAAATACAGTGCCTGCAAGTTATCTGTGAGCATGCAAGTCCAGGGTACAGTAAAAGTTGCACTTTCGGGGTTTTGGAACAAATTATCATAAAACCATGTATTTTGGGGTTTAAATTAGGATAGTATAAATATCATAACTCGAGGGACTGCTGTACTGAAAAGACATTTGACATGTTTGGGAATAAAGCCAAAAGCATTTAAACAAAAATAAATAATTTTTCACAAAGAAAAGCAATGGAAAATTCTTAGGGCTACACCTTAGCTGCAGTTGTGCTTTTGGGAGATTCAGAAGAGAAGTTGGAGAGGTTGATGGATGAGTTTGGAAGGGTATGTAAAAGAAGGAAACTTACAGTGAACATAGGAAAGAGCAAGGTGTTGAGGTTAACAAAAAAATTTGGCAGTGAAAGATTGGATATCAGATTGGAGGGAGGTAATATGGATGAAGTGAATGTGTTTCAGATATTTGGGAGTGGACTTGTCAGCAGATGGGTCTATGAAAGATGAGGTGAACAATAAAACTGACGATGGGAAAAAAGTGAGTGGTGCAGTGAGTCATCTGGGGAGACAACATTAGCCATGGAGGCAAAAAGGGAAATGTATGAGAGTGTAGTGGGTATAATAGGTGTGAAGAATGGGTTATGAATCTTGCAACAAGGAGGAGGCTGGAGGCAGTGGAGATGTCATGCTTGAAGGCAATGCATGGTGTGAATATTGTGCAGAGAATTGATGTGAATATTATGCAGATAATCTGTAGCATGGAGATTAGAAGGAAGTGCAGGATTACTAAAAGTATTTTCCAGAGGGCTGAAGAGTTGTTTAGGTGGTTTGGACAGTTAGAAGGACTGGAACAAAATAGGATAACTTGGAGAGCATATACATCAGTAGTGGAGGGAAGGCAGGGTTGGGGTCATCCTAGATAGAGTTGGAGGGAGGGGGTAAAGGAGGTTTTTGTGTGTGAGAGGCTTAGCCTCCCAGCAAGCATGTGAGAGCCTGTTAGTTAGGAGTGAGTGAAGACAAGTGGTTTTTATCACTTGACAGGCTGTTGAAGTGTGAGCAGTGTAACATTTCTGAAGGGTTTCAAGGAAACCAGTTAGTCAGACTTGAGTCCTGCAGGTGGGAAGTACAGTGCCTGCACTGAAGGAGGGTGGGTATATATGCAGTTGTGAATTGTAGTACTGTATCAGAACCCCTCTGGCAAGACAGTGATGGAGTGATTGATGGTGAAAGTGTTTTTTTTTTTTTGGGGGGGGGGGGTTCCCCTGCAACGGGAGACGACCTGTATGTTAGAAAAAAAAATAAGCAATTTTTTTTGTTGTGCTAGGATAAATATACAAGATTTATTAAAAACTCTGGTTTTTATACATCCCTTTAATTGTAGGGATTTTGTTTTATAACTACTGGTACGGATATGTACTTGTGATGTTTTTTAAATAATGAGCTAAATTTCTATTGCTTTTGATACAGGGTATTTTTTGAACAATGGCATGTGTAACACTCAAGCGATCACTAGAATTTGATCCTCTTCACCATGGGAGTTGCACACCTCGACCACACAAGAGACGACGATGCGTGCCTATGTGTGTCTCTCCTCAGAGTGCTGCTGCAGCCACTGCACGTCACACTGAGTCACAGTCGCCATTTGCAGAGGTCACACCTACTCTAACTCCAGGTAACTTTTTTTTTTTTTACACCTTCATGTTAACATTCTCTCGTATATTTTTTTACATTTTCCTCTGCTTCAAGTTTTAGGAATATATGGGTTTAGTATATTTATTTGAATGTAATAATAACGACTGGGATCAAATAGTTAGGCTGTTCCCATCACTTTATTTCACAATTAAGTAGTTTTTGATATGACATCTTTGATAGATGCAAACAAAACTAGATCAGCATAACTCTGCGCAATACATTGTTTGCCCTAAGACTGCGTGTGCAGCATAATTTACTGACTTGCTTTGATAAACTATACTATAGTGAATGCATATCTGTTATCACCCCGGAATGAAAATATTTAAAAATGATGCGTAGCAGTTCAAGAGATGTTTAAGATAAGTAATTCTCCAGTGAGGTAAGTGCATTTGTCTTTGTAAAATATCACTTTAGAGGCAATGAGAAAGACTGTCACTACATTGTGGGTTGTAATGCTGAATAGTTTTGCATTTTGTTGTAGTATCCAGTCTTGTATGCAAGCTGAGAATCGTAGGCCATTTGAAAATTAACAAGAATGCAACCATCTGTGTTTGAGTATTGCTATGAATTTTGTTAGACAGCAGTGGTCATCAATTCATGGGAGTAAGAGCCAGCTCTCAAGCAGTAATTGTAGATGGTGATACTGACGTATTTACAATTTCAGTGCTCCATGTTTATTAAGACACACCTGTATCTCATCAGCCCTAAACACTGTTATATAAAACAGAATAGTGTAGCTATATTTTATGAATATGTTACATCTAGGGCTGAGATCTGTAGGCACTGTACTTAACTACTTATTTGAGTTTGAAGGGAGAGGATTTATCTCTTGCTCTTGATCCTACCTCTAGGCATTGTGCAGAACCGACTGACAAGACATGAAGCAAGGCACATCTACTCTTAAATTCTTGTGCCATTTGCTTCTGTTATTGTCCACTTCATTCCACATACCATTCTTTTTACGCTGAAGTATTGTTTTAGTATTCCTGTGACCCAGGTGGGTGCCTAATTTCTGACCATGCTTTTTCATTCATGATTCCTCTGTATTAAGGGAAGGGACAGCAATTTTGACTAAACCTTTTGAAATTTGGCAAATTTAAAAAAAAAAAAAAAGGTGCACTTTTGGCAACTCTCTGGAGTATTCAAAAGTTTAGATATATTTAATACAGTATATACTCTTTTCTAAAGGTAAACCAGTGTTTTCAGACTAGGCATGTCTAAACACATTTGGAGATTAATTTTTGCATTTAAAAAAATACACAAGAGTTCACATGAATTACAATACCTAAATGAAATAATTACAGAACAAATTGCGCAAAATGTTCGGGAGGAGATTCGCCGGCTGAAACGCCGCAAGATATTACAGTGTGGCGAGCGTAGCATGGAGTGCGAAGGAGGCTACGATTCCCCAGCTTCCCCCCTCTCTCCGCCCTCCCCTGTCTGTCCTACCTCACCATCACCTGCACCAACATCCACTGCAGGAGTGTCATCTCTTCACCAACATCATCACCATCATCAGTCCTCTCTTGGGAAGGATAAACCTCTGTTTACATTTAAACAGGTATGTATGTATGGTATATACAAAATGTATAGAATGTATGTAAATGTATAGTATGTTTTTTTTTTTAACAAGTCGGCCGTCTCCCACCGAGGCAGAGTCACCCAAAAAGAAAGAAAATCCCCAAAAAGAAAATACTTTAAGCATCATTCAACACTTTCACCTCACTCGCACACAATCACTGTTTTTGCTGAGGTGCTCAGAATACAACAGTTTAGAAGCACATGTATATACATATAAAAATACACAATATATCCCTCCAAGCTACCAATATCCCAAACCCCTCCTTTAGAGTACAGGCATTGTACTTCCCATTTCCAGGACTCAAGTCCGGCTATATGAAAATAACCGGTTTCCCTGAATTATTTATTTTTTATTTATTATCACACTGGCCGATTCCCACCAAGGCAGGGTGGCCCGAAAAAGAAAAACTTTCACCATCATTCACTCCATCACTGTCTTGCCAGAAGGGTGTTTTACACCACAGTTTTTAAACTGCAACATTAACACCCCTCCCTCAGAGCGCAGGCACTGTACTTCCCATCTCCAGGACTCAAGTCCGGCCTGCCGGTTTCCCTGAACCCCCTCATAAATGTTACCTTGCTCACACTCCAACAGCACGTCAAGTATTAAAAACCATTCGTCTCCATTCACTCCTATCAAACACGCTCACGCATGCCTGATGGAAGTCCAAGCCCCTCGCACACAAAACCTCCTTTACCCCCTCTCTCCAACCTTTCCTAGGCCGACCCCTACCCCGCCTTCCTTCCACTACAGACTGATACACTCTTGAAGTCATTCTGTTTCGCTCCATTCTCTCTACATGTCCGAACCACCTCAACAACCCTTCCTCAGCCCTCTGGACAACAGTTTTGGTAATCCCGCACCTCCTCCTAACTTCCAAACTACGAATTCTCTGCATTATATTCACCCCACACATTGCCCTCAGACATGACATCTCCACTGCCTCCAGCCTTCTCCTCGCTGCAACATTCATAACCCATGCTTCACACCCATATAAGAGTGTTGGTAAAACTATACTCTCATACATTCCCCTCTTTGCTTCCAAGGACAAAGTTCTTTGTCTCCACAGACTCCTAAGTGCACCACTCACCCTTTTCCCCTCATCAATTCTATGATTCACCTCATCCTTCATAGACCCATCCGCTGACACGTCCACTCCCAAATATCTGAATACATTCACCTCCTCCATACTCTCTGCCTCCAATCTGATATCCAATCTTTCATCACCTAATATTTTTGTTGTCCTCATAACCTTACTCTTTCTTGTATTCACTTTTAATTTTCTTCTTTTGCACACCCTACCAAATTCATCCACCAATCTCTGCAACTTCTCTTCAGAATCTCCCAAGAGCACAGTGTCATAAGCAAAGAGCAGCTGTGACAACTCCCACTTTGTGTGTGATTCTTTATCTGTTAACTCCACGCCTCTTGCCAAGACCCTCGCATTTACTTCTCTTACAACCCCATCTATAAATATATTAAACAACCATGGTGACATCACATACCCTTGTCTAAGGCCTACTTTTACTGGGAAATAATTTCCCTCTTTCCTACATACTCTAACTTGAGCCTCACTATCCTCGTAAAAACTCTTCACTGCTTTCAGTAACCTACCTCCTACACCATACACCTGCAACATCTGCCACATTGCCCCCCTATCCACCCTGTCATATGCCTTTTCCAAATCCATAAATGCCACAAAGACCTCTTTAGCCTTATCTAAATACTGTTCACTTATATGTTTCACTGTAAACACCTGGTCTACACACCCCCTACCTTTCCTAAGGCCTCCTTGTTCATCTGCTATCCTATTCTCAGTCTTACTCTTAATTCTTTCAATAATAACTCTACCATACACTTTACCAGGTATACTCAGCAGACTTATCCCACTATAATTTTTGCACTCTCTTTTATCCCCTTTGCCTTTATACAAAGGAACTATGCATGCTCTCTGGCAATCCCTAGGTACCTTACCCTCTTCCATACATTTATTAAATAATTGCACCAACCACTCCAAAACTATATCCCCACCTGCTTTTAACATTTCTATCTTTATCCCATCAATCCCGGCTGCCTTACCCCCTTTCATTTTACCTACTACCTCACGAACTTCCCCCACACTCACAACTGGCTCTTCCTCACTCCTACAAGATGTTATTCCTCCTTGTCCTATACACGAAATCACAGCTTCCCTATCTTCATCAACATTTAACAATTCCTCAAAATATTCCCTCCATCTTCCCAATACCTCTAACTCTCCATTTAATAACTCGCCTCTCCTATTTTTAACTGACAAATCCATTTGTTCTCTAGGCTTTCTTATATATATATATATATATAATATATATATATATATATATATATACACATATACATACATACATACATACATACATATACATACATACGTACATACATACATACATACATACATACGTGCCTTGGTGGGAGACGGCCGACTTGTTGAAAAAAAAAATTATATTACAGTAGGGCCCCGCTTTACAGTGTTTCGTCTTAAGGCGTTCCGCTAATACGGCGATGTCAAATTATGACTAAAATTTTCTATATGGCAAGCGGTCTTTCAAATACGGCACGCCCCACCCGGTTTGTTTACATTCTCCGTGACCACATCTATTATGTCAGGAAACTTTCCAAAATTTCAAGTGTTTTAAAGTTACTGCATATTTTGTATGTACTCTGATAATTATACTTACGTGTACCTGTACCTAAATATACTTACACACTGTGCTGGTGTGCAGGTACACATTAAAATCGCTAAGTCTCTCTCTACTCATGACGCCAATACGTACTACGTAATAATAATCACTCTTGGGCACACTAAATGTCTTATTTTACATTAATATGTATAGGCATTTTCATTAATCCATCTATGATATTTTCCTCAAAATTATATATGAAACCCGTTACATAGCATATAAACATGATACATACACTCACAGAATAAAAATTGACGTAAATATGAGATTTGTTTATAAAGCAGCTGTGTAGGTAGTGTCGGAAGAATTACATTTTCTCTGGTCAAACTGGGGGATAACTGTAGAAAAATATTCTTTTCGTATGCTTTTATATATAGCATTTCACGACCTTTGTGGGTTTAGTGCTTTTTATAATATAATAATAATTATTAACTCTAAAAATTGTGTGTTGCTGTTTGTTTATTCTGTACTAACTTGTACAACTTGTACACAGTGTAAGAGTATTTGTATTGTGAGGTAATTATTATTATAATAAAAAATATGAGATAAATGTTTTACAAACTCTTACAAACATATGTGAATGAACTAAAAGTAGACACACATTAATGCGCATTTATTTCACCTGACCAAGTGATCGCCCACTACCTGTTCAGTTTGTGTTCTTACATTGTCTCAACTCTGTATCTCGTTCTCTCTCTCGTTTACTCTTTCATGAACTAGTTGGCTCTCATTGACGATGGCGTCTAAGGTTAGCTGTGATAAAAAGAGGAGTCGTAAGCCTCTTGCTTTAAGTGCCAAGTTAAAGGATGATGGTGTGCCATTCTGATTTTATTCAATAAACACCCTGCCACTCACCTCTCACACATTAATATTAATATTTTAAGGTAACTAATAAGTGTACTCTGTGTGTATCTTACCTTTTATTGTGTTTTTAATGCCTATTTCTATTGCTAACTTAATATAAGTTAGTGTAAACTTGTTGTCTGGCATTTATTGCATATTTTATGTGCTCTGATAATATTACTTGTGGACCTGTTTGGTAGCCGGGCAGAGGAACAACACTACGTTTTCTCTGCTCAGCCATCAGAGAAAACGTGTATGAATCTGCGTTTGGCCCAGCCACTCCCACACTCCACTTTTGTTTACAATTTTCGGCATAAATTATTCATTACTTCTCCCTTCGTTTATGATGGCATCTAAAGGTAATTGTTAGAAATGATTAAATTCAGTGAACAAGGTATGTTGATGTTAATAATATGGCTCTGGGCCACAGTGTAGGTAGCCGGTAGGTGTAGCCCAGGTGGGCTACACCTACCGGCTACCTACACTGACTTCCTACAAATAAATACTACTCACCTCTCTTCCTATTACCTGGAGTTTACCTGGAGAGAGTTTCGGGGGTCAACGCCCCCGCGGCCCGGTCTGTGACCAGACGACCTGGTGGATCAGAGCCTGATCAACCAGGCTGTTGCTGCTGGCTGCACGCAAACCAACCAACCAATGAGTGTACTGTATGTGTATTTTACCTCTCTGGGATGTTTTAAATACCTTTTATTAACCCTTTGAGGGTCGACAGGCCCTCTCTGAAACTCGTTCTCAGGGTCGGCCAATTTAAAAAAAAAAATAATTTTCTCTTATGAAAAGATAGAGAATCTTTTCCCGATCATAAGGACACCAAAAGTTTGAAATTTGATGGAAAACTTATGGAATTATGCTCTCGCGAAGTTAGCGGTCTCGGCGATGTTTATGCATCGGCGATTTTGCCCACTTTGAACCCCATTTTCGGCCAATTCCACTGTACTAGTCGACAAAAAACGTGAATATTTTGCTAGAACTCGATTTTTTCTATCGAATGGGTGCAAGAAACCACCCATTTATGAAATTCAACTATCCAGTACAGTGGTCAGAATTTAGCAATTTTGCCAATTTCACACAAATTTCAAAAGATGCCAATTTCTGAATAGGGTCCAGAATAAACAAGAAAGACATTCCTGGCACTAAAATGACATATCCTCTGGTCATTAGTCACGTCTCAAGGCCCCTCATATTCTTTTGCTTTCCACTTTGAATTTTTATTCTCACAAAAAATATAAGATTTACTGTTATGCAGACTACTGCATTAGTGTAAAAAATGGTATAAATATTATTGACGCACTTGTGAAAGAATAAGACTCGCCAGTTGACGCGTATTGGACGCTTGGCACGATTTGTTTACTTTTGAAATTTGGTAAAAATCGAACAATTCTGCTATTTTGAGCTCAATTTCAAGGTACCTTTCATTGTAAAACCAGTCAAAATCATCTCAATTTCTGTAATATGTCTTTCATTCTATAAAATCAGACCAAGAAAACTAGAATACAACAATAAATACCATACGAAAATACAGTGCAAAGTCGCTGTTTTATTCCAAAAAAACGGTCAGTTTTTTTTTTTCTCATTATGCACTGTGTGCTGCAGGATTTTTTTTAGACTGCACACTGACCACATAGACCCATTCTTTCATATGAAGGCCTACCAGCTTTCTCCCAATAGATTTGAGGGCGCTAGAATTTAGGCGTACTAGTACGTCAAAAACCCTGGTGCGTAAGCCGTACTAGTACGTCCGAAACCCTCAAAGGGTTAACCCTTAAATGGTCTAAATGTATATAGTATATGTTTTTTCAACATTTGAAAGTACGTAGAAAAATGTAGATCTTCCTTGTTTTACATTTAAAAATATGTAAAAAAAAACTTTTATCTATTTTTTTTTTTAAATATGTAAAAAAACGTATATCTACTTTTGGAGCACTGCGGATTTGAACGTCGATCTGTTTGGACCGTTTAAGGGTTAAGTACGAGACGGGGAGCCAGGGCTACCTACACCTGGGCTACTTGCACCTGGGCTACCTGCACCTGGGCTACCTGCACCAGGGCTACCTACACCTGGGCTACTTGCACCTGGGCTACCTGCACCTGGGCTACCTGCACCTGGGCTACCTGCACCTGACTTCCTACAAATAAGTACTACTCGCCTCTCTCCCTGCATTAAGATTACAAGTACTTTAAGATAAGTAATGAATGTACTGTGAATATATTTTACTTTGTGTTTTTAATGCCTAGTTCTATTACTAACTTAATATAATTTAATGTAAACTTGTTGTCTGGCATTTACATGCATTTATAAATGGAAAAAAATGGCGTTCTGCCTTCCGGCGATATCTGCTTTCCGGCGACAGCCTGGAACCTAACCCGCCATATAAGTGGGGCCCTACTGTATATATATATATTTTTTTTTCAGTCCAGGAATTTTTTTGAGAGCACCTCATTTGTGTTTATTTATTTATTACTTTACAAACAAGTGAAATTGTTTACAAACATTATCTCTTAGTCCAGCACAGGATTCAGACCTGTTCACTCTGCATCAAAGTACATAGTTCTTTTGTCACAGCCACAGGCACCTAGCCAGAGCTAGGTATTGTATTCCCATTCTCCAGAGCAGCTTGGCAAGAGTACTGTGTACTTTGATGCAGAATGCACAGGTTTGAATCCTGTTCTGAACTAAGGTAATGTTTGTAAATAATTTCACTCATTTGCAAAGTGTTATGCATTCTAAAATATCTTTCGAAGTTTGGTACATGTGGCAGGATATGAAATTACTTATCAGAAGCCTGGTGCTCTGGGGTTTGGGGATACAATGCCTAGCTTCTGTTAGGTGCCCATACCACCATCTACCACCACCACTTACCACTACTACTACCACCTACCACTACTACTACCACCTACCACTACTACTACCACCTACCACTACTACTACCACCTACCACTACTACCACCTACCACTACTACTACCACCTACCACTACTACTACCACCTACCACTACTACCACCTACCACTACTACTACCACCTACCACTACTACCACCTACCACTACTACTACCACCTACCACTACTACCACCTACCACTACTACTACCACCTACCACTACTACTACCACCTACCACTACTACTACCACCTACCACTACTACTACCACCTACCACTACTACTACCACCTACCACTACTACTACCACCTACCACTACTACTACCACCTACCACTACTACTACCACCTACCACTACTACTACCACCTACCACTACTACTACCACCTACCACTACTACTACCACTACTACCACTACTACTACCACTACATACTACTACCTACCACTACTACTACCACCTACCACTACTACTACCACCTACCACTACTACTACCACCTACCACTACTACTACCACCTACCACTACTACCACCTACCACTATACTACCACCTACCACTATTACTACCACCTACCACTATACTACCACTACCCTACTACACTACTACAACATACCACCTACCACTACTACTACCACCTATCACTGCCATTACCTATCACTGCCACCATCTACCATCCACACCATCTATCACCACCTATCAGTGCAGGCATTGAACGTATCACCTCTAAGACTCTGTTCCCCCTAACTGGTTCTCGGAATACCTTCATATGTGTTACCTTGCTCACACTCTAACTGCACATCAAACTATAAAAATCACTAAGCTCTACTTGTTTCAGTCTAATATGCTCACACATTCTGCTGGATGTGCAAGCCCCATGCACTTAAAGCCTTTACCCCCTCCCTCCAGGTCTTCCTGGGAGTGGCCCCTACCCCTCCTTCCTGTTTTCTACCTCAGCTGTATGCATCCTCTAGGTCATCCTATTCTACTACACATGCCCAAACCACCTCAGTAACCCTTCCTCAGACTTATAATTTTGGTAACACCTCACTATCTTCAAATTTCTAGACTCCGAATTGTCAGCATAATATTCACATCCCATGTTTTCTCCACAAAATGGCTTTGATGATAAGTGCACTCATTATTACAGGTGAATCTGATCTGTGAGCAGCTACTGCGAGAACGTGAGGTGAATATCCGAGAGGAATATGATAAAGTTTTGGCATCCAAACTTGCTGAGCAGTATGATTGCTTTGTACGTTTTACTACAGATCAGATACAGCAGAGGCTCTCTCAAGCATCCCTTCCCAGCTGTAAGTATTGTTTTAATATGGTAATTGCTAAATGTATCCAAGACATTATAGTTTTTTACAGAAACATGCTCATTATTTAGCCTGTTGGGCTTCATAACTACCCATAAATTATAATTTGAAACTGGACAGCTTTTCAGTCTTTCTTGGATTACTATTATCAAGTTGAGAGTCAAAGAGAAGTGGTGAATGCTAGAAGTTAGGTTGAAATCATTGGTAGGTTTTCAGAAAATGTGTATTACAAAGATAGAGAATTAGGTACTGGGAGGGACTAGCATCTACAGAAAAAGTGGGGGCTAAGAGTTATGTTAGGGATGTTATAAGGGTAGGTTCAGCAATGTAGCTTCTGTGAAAACTTGAAGAGGGATACATAATTTTGAATATAGACCACCTCATGGAATGGCACTATGATGCCTAACATCACAGAAAGGAGCCTTATTCATGTCAACAGTAGTGAAAGTTTGAAATGGGTTGATTGTTGACTCAAAAATTTAAATTCTTTGCTGTTCATTTTCATCTTGTCTTTACTAATTTCTTAAATTTGGCTTGCTTATGCTAAAAGAATTTTTTTCTTGAATTTACTTTTGCAGTTAAGACATTTGTGTTTTGCCTTCACTATATTTGTAGTTTATAAAGCCTTAACACCCTTAACTTGCTTTGTTAAACTAATATACAGTAGGGCCCTGGTTTATGGACCTTCACTGATGCAACCATTTCAAATTATACCCCAAAATTTGTTTATATGACTCCTGATTCACTGTCACAGCCTGAGTTCCCAGGTGGCTGTGTGTCCATGCATCATTATCTTTTAGGTTGTTTATATCCTCAATGACTTCCATGTGTCTCTTGATTCTTCCTGGAAACTTTCCAAAGTTTCAAGTGTTTTAAAGTTATTGATTTTTTAATTAACAGGTGTTTTTATTATCAGGCATTTATATGCCTGATAATAAAAAATGATTCACTTTACAGCAATAGCCTGGAACTTAACCCACTGTATAATCAGGGCCCTCCTGTATTTTAAATATAATCTGGTTCTTACTATTACAACTGCAGCCAACGCTTGAGTGTTTATTTCCTGCACATTTTACCCTCTAATACATTGGTGAAGCTGTTCAACGAAAGACATATTTGGCTTGCTGACACTAACAATACCATAGTTGTATTAGGGATTATATCTAGCATCTGTGATGGTTCTCTTGCAAAATTTTCTGTCCTCTTAAAGATTTTACAGACATCTTTTTGTGGAAATGGCCCTGGCATGAATCTTAGCTGTGTCCTTTCTTCACAATGCTCTGACTTCTGACTTTCTCCCTCTTTCTTTATGGACCAAATTGTAGTCTAGCTTTCAGTTAAAATTTGTTAGTTAATGTGGATTGTTCCAGTCACAGGATTGTAACTTATTCTTCCTGGTTTACTCATTGTGGTTAAGAATATTATTTTAATTTACTTGTAAAACATTTTTTAGGCAAATTTGTCTTATTTTCCAAAATGTTCACTCGGAATTGAAAGCCTATTAATTTATTGTTTTTACTTTCAGATCTTTCATAAAGTGACCATGTTCTTTTGATATGGACTATGTGCCTTTGGAGGTACAAAGAATGAAAAATTGTGAGAATATTTCCCCTGGAAGTGTGAACTTTGTACATAGGAAGTATCTCAAGCTCTGGAAGGAATAAAAGTGTTCAGGAAACAAGTGTAATAATCGATTGCCAGATAAAATGGATATAAACCTCATTTCGGTTTGATAGTGCTTGTGAAGTGCTGTTTAGTATGAAGGTGTTAAATCAATATATCCATATCATTCAAGGCTGTACACAAGTACAGTGGTCTTGGGTTAGCCAGGACACAAACTCAAGTCACGTACATAACAGCAAACAATATAAGTTAGAAGGGACTTACACGGCAACCAGAAGTGGCAGCTTCAGTGACAAGCATGAGTTAACTTGTGGTGCTCATTCTGTGTGGCATTCCTCAACTGTTGTGTGTACATACCTTCTAACCATTCAGTTGCCTTTCACACTTTTCTTGCTTTAAGTGGGTACTTTGTGGAGTAAAACTCGGCGATACAGCATACTTGAAGGGAGGAACTGGTATCTATAATGGTTTGCGAGAAAAGTTGTGATTGTTGAGAATTTATCTAGTACAGGAAGACAGCCTCAGCTGCAGTCACATTGCCTTCATGTGAATAGTAATCTAGGGTAGCGCTCCATATTGCCTGTTTTATGTTAGCATAAATTTATTTTTTGCTAGCTTCTCTTTAACTTGTATGTATCTGATACGTGTGACTTGAAAGTAGGTTCTTTAACTTTGTAAATAAGTTTTTAATAGGAAGGAGATACCCTGGTAATGTCTTCCTGTATTAGAGCCATAAAACTTGCCCCTCTCATTAGAAGGGCAATATTAACCCACCATACAAATCAATATCTCGCCTATGCTGTTTTATTAGAGATCTATTGTATGATAATTTACTTATGGGTGTTGTGTCTAATGTGGGTAATAATGTAATTTAGGCATAATAAGGTGTTAGGTTCAAAAGGGTTACATTCTGCTGTAGCAGAAAGAGCCCTATAAAGTGAGAAAGGCAGTAGTGTTAGTTGCAATGAATGATTGTTTCACCGTATGAATTTACAACTAGTGTAGAGTAAGTTTTTTTTATAATGTTCCGAGGCTGGAAGGTCTCGAATCGTGTGTACGATGCACGTTTGGAAGCAGGACTTTGTAAGCTGCATATTGTCAAGCATTGTTGAAGCAGTAAGTCTGCATTTATAAGATAATTGGTGAAATTTTGGGTTTTGTAAGGAATCTGTTAGTGCATTTTATTTCCTTAATTTCATCTTTCATGACAGGGACATTGTATAGCAGTTCTGCATTACTTTATCACTAAGACTTTTCACATCCTGTAATGTCATTCACTGTTATAAAGCAATGCTTCTTTTCCATATAAATAGAAAAGTAATCTTAAAAATTGAGCAAATGATTCTCTTTATTTTTTTTTTATTTCCTGCAAAGAATAACACTAATCTTGGCTTCTCTGTAACTTTAATTTTATGAATCTGGAAAATTTGTTGCTAAGTTAGCTCAACATATTGGTTAATAAGTTAGTTGGACATATTGTTGCATGAACTCTTGAAGAGTAATTGTTTACTATTTATTTTCTTGTTCTCACTTTTTTACTGTACTTGTATTATTAAATATACTTGTTAATGGGAAAGTACGGCATTTGTATTTTTATTGGCATACTCGAAGATTACCCATTGTGGCATGTACGTTATAAACTTGAGATAAAAAGAACTTATTGAAGTGAATTTAAACCTTCTGGTATTTTCTTTTTTTCTTTCCCCAAGAGCAATCTGCCAAGGCAGGGTAACCTAAAGAGGAAAACTTTTATTACTATTCATTCAATCACTGTCTTGCCAGAAGTGTGCTGACATCACATTTCAGATTACTCTCTGACTGCAACATCTCCACCCCCTCCAGAGTGTAGGCATTGCTCTTCCCGCCTTCAGGACTTGAAGTCCAGCTAACTGGTTTTACTGAATTGTTTAATTAATATTGCCTTGCTCACACTCCAGTAGCATGTCTCCATTTAATCCTAACTAACATGCTTGCACAAGGCTGCTAGATGCCCAAGTCCCTAAAACTCAAAGCCTCCTTTGCTCCCTCATTCCATTCATTGCTTCCTACTTTCCACCTCAGATTTATATGCCCTCTTCATCATCCTATCTCTCTCCATCCTCTCGACATGCTCAGACCACCTCATATCATCAGCCCCCTGAATTAAACCCTTTGTGACCCCATATGTCTTTTAATTTCTCTGCTCTGCATGATATTCACACCATACATTTCTCTCAAATTCAGTCATACACTTTACTCAGCATGTTCAACAGGTTTATCCCCCTATAATTCTTAGTGTGTCTTGTCCCTGTTTCTCTTATATATGCATATATTATGTCCCTGTTTCTCTTATATATGCATATATTAAAAAATACAAACTACTACGACACTATCCCACCTGCTTTTAATATGTCTGGCTTATGGCTTAATCTCATGCAACCTAGCCACTTCACCCCCCTTTCATTTTAGTCTGGATTTCCAGATTTTGACTTGGATTTGACTATTGAAGATACTAAATGCTGCTATAGTACTTTATTTAAAGTGCCTGAAAGTTGAACCTGCTCTGTGACCTGTCTTTAATCTACTCTCGGCTAAAACTGGGGAGTTAGTATATTATATTACATTACCTCCTTGTTGGGTCTGGTGATAATTGGGGATGTGGATCCATAAGGCAAGAGACCAGACCTGATTTCCTGGTTTGCTGCATCTGACATATTTCAGTCCAAGTCTGACCAAAATGTCATCATAAGCTCCCCCCTCCTATGTGCAGGTTGTTTGTGTATCCTTTCTGCGTATAAAAGTTTCTCCTTTGTTTAGAATTTGACTTCAGGCACTGGGAATGTTTTTATAGTCCCAACAAAATGCTGTAGCAGATGCTCTTGAAAACAGGCTTTTCCCTTATGCTTCAGTGTTTCATTTCATTGGCCCTAATGGCCTGTATCAAATTATGCAATTGATGTGTATTGTGCATTCTGCCAGACAAACTGAGGCCCTCTTTGAATTTCAGGCTGGATGACCTTTGCTACAGTCTTGCCATATGCCCTGCATTTAGCCAGAGACCCCAACAACACTATTAAATGACAGAAATGATTCCCCATTCAGCATAATTTACTTCCAGAGGCTTGGAAATTGTCAGCTGACTTTTCTCTATCATTTGTATGCATAATGATTTCAAATATAGTAGTTATAAGTGCCTAAAATGTATGTGTAATGCTATAGGGATGAACCTGTAAACTCCAGCAAGAAAGGAGTCTCTCCCCAGTTGATCCTACACCAATCCTGCCCCTCCCCAGTCTACCCTACACTCAGTTCAATTGTACCTAGATGGTACCACACCAGTTCTTACCCTCCCCAGTGTAACTTACTCCATTTCTTCTGCTTCCCATCTGTCTTGCACCAAACCTTCAACCCATCCTTTTCTCCAGTCTTACTCCATTCGATCTCCCAGTCAATCCTACACTAACTCCCCCCCACTCCAGTCTATTGTACAAAAACCCTACTCTCCTTGTCTATCCCACCAGTCCTCCCAGTATATCTACAATCTTCCTCAGTTTATCCCATACCATCCTTACCCTTCCCAGTCTACCCCCCACTAAGCTTTCCACTCCTTTGTCTATATCAGTCTTTACCTTCCCCAGCCTATCGTACAATTCTTCCCTCAATCTATCCTATACCAATCCTCCACAGTTCTACACCAATCCCCCAGTCTAACCCTAAAATTTCCTTCACTATCTTAAACCAACCCCTTTCCTACAGATCCCACCCCAACCCTCTGCAATCTTGCAATCCTCATATGTCGATGGCAAGAAATTGCTTCCCATCCACCTGGGACCCCAAGAACCACCCATTTATACAATCTCTAAAATGAACAAACCAGGTACATCTCTTAAGACATCATGTTTGGCATTGGAAGGGTCTCACACCAACCTGCAGGAGTACTTGCCAAGCATCTCTCCAAGCTGCTGGGAAAGATCAGCTCTGCCCTCTGTTTCATGCTCAGCAGATGGAAGATCAAACCTTCACCACCAGGTCTTGCGCTGAATGACACAAGTTTAGAGCTTAACATGAATTAAACGAACAAACAATTAGCCCTTAATTTTGATTGTAATAATGATGGTGATGTTACTATTCACAAAGTCCCCACACACCAACAGTCATGGCATGACTGGGCACCTGGAGGAGGAGAAATTGAAATAATTTTTAATTCACACCAGCCAGTGTCACATGGTTAATATACGTTGGTCATCGCCCTCAAGAGGCGTCAACACTACTGAACTATATGAACACAAATGCAGTATAATGTGATCCTTTATTGACTACGTTTCGCCCACACAGTGGGCTTTTTCAAGTCACAAACAGAACTACCTGGGGTGAAAGGAACGCGAGTATTTATAGTCCAGCTGAGGTCAGGTGAAGAATGCTGCATCTGATGATGTACCGAGTGGGGTTATAGAGTCTAAAAACTTGGGTAGCTTGGAAAGGAGATTGGATAAGTTGTGAGCAGACCTTCTACAGTGTTCTTATGTGGGATAGCGATGAAGAAGTTTCTTGGCAAGTGGTTCAGCTATGTTATAGAAGCCACTATTCTGGTTGAAGTTGTCGGATATAGAAATGAGTGATGATTCCAGGATTCTTCGGTATGAGTGTTGTCTTCTGTGGCGATAAGTCTTGAGTTTCTGTAGTTTATCAAGTGGTTGTGTGAATTACGGTGTTGTACGCAGGCATTCCTTGTGTCGTCAGACCTGCTTGCGTATTGGTGTTCTGAAATACGTGTTTGGAGGTCCCTTGATGTTTCGCCACGTATAACTTGTTGCAGTCATTACAAGGGATTATGTATACCCCCGCAGAGGATGGAGGCTTGTCCTGCTTACTACTGGTGATGTCCTTGATGGTCGTGGTTGTGGAGGTAGATACTTGGAATGATGTTTTGGCAAAGATGTTGGAAACATGTTTGGCAATGGAGTTGGTGGGAAGGACTATGTATCTCTTCTCGGCAGTGTCTTCTCTGGGTGTGTTGAAGATGTTTAATGCTCGCCGTCTGCAGTCTCTGATGAAGTGACGAGGATAGTGGAGTTTAGAAAATATTTGTTCAATTATAGTGCATTCTTCCTCAAGGAACTCGTTGCTGCAGATTCTGAGTGCACGCAGGAGAAGCCTATAATTACACTAGTTTGGTTTGGTGTCGTGGTGAGAGTAGAAGTGGAGAAGATCGTTTTGGTTGGTGGGTTTTCGATAGACTTTAAACGAAGTTCATGGTCAGCTTTGCAGAGCAGGACATCAAGGAAAGGAAGAGGTTGTCGACTTCTTCTTCAAGTGTGAACTGGATTGAAGGCTCGACCTGGTTGAGCTTGTCTTGGAGACCTTGAAGTTGAAGGTTTAGGAGTTATGAGGAGAATGTCGTCAACATAACGGGGGCCAGGTGACAGACGAAGGATAATGGTGGAGAACCGTTGGCTTCTAGATTTTCCCCATGTAAGGTTCCCCAGGAACTGCACTGAGTGGCGAACCCATGGGTAGCCCAAAAAGTCTGCTGAAAGAGGTGATTTTCGAAAGAGAAACACGTAAAGCCAAACACATAGTTCAACAAGGTCGATGAAATCGCTGGCTGATTCTATAACCCCACTCGGTACATCATCAGATGCAGCATTCTTCACCTGACCTCAGCTGGACTATAAATACTCGCGTTCCTTCCACCCCAGGTAGTTCTGTTTGTGACTTGAAAAAGCCCACTGTGTGGGCGAAACGTAGTCAATAAAGGATCACATTATACTGCATTTGTGTTTATATTGCCATTGTGTCGGTATTTTATACCATTTATTTCCACTACTGAACTAAATGCCACAGTTCTGTAAAGCCTTCCATAAAGTTTACCATAGAGGGGAAAACATGGTTGCCAACCCTGTTACAGATTCCTACTTGGTAAGAGAAACAACGGAGTTCAGGGTCGACGGGAAACCGCAGCACTTAGTTATGTTTTATAATTTTACAGGAAAAACCAACAAAAATAAACTTTGCTTTTTTTTTCTTTTGCCACAGAAACCGCTCTAAGGGGGTGTTGTAACTTTTTTTTGGGGGCCCTTTCCCGAAACTTTTTTTTTATTTTTTTTTAAACCCACTGGCCGTTTCCCCACCAAGGCAGGGGGGCCGAAAAAGAAAAATTTCACCATCTTTTCACTCCATCACTGTTTTGCCAGAAGGGGTTTTACACTACAGTTTTTAAACTGCAACATTAACCCCCCCCCTTCATGCAACATTAACCCCCCCCAGAGTTTTTGGGGGTGTCCCGTGGTAACGCCCCGCGGCCCGGGCCCCAAGATCGGGCCCTTGTGGTGGATCAGGGTTCATAGCCAGGTGTTTTACTGGCTGCACAAATCCAACATACGAACCCAGCCCAGCTGGTAGGTGCGAATGGGTGCCTGCCCAGTTCCCCTTGAAGACAGCTGGGGGTTTAAATGGTAACCCCCCTTGTGTATGTGGGGGGGCAGCTGAAAGTCTGGGCCCTTTGCATTATTGTTTTGTTTATTTCTTATTTTCTCATGGCCCCCCCTGCTTTTGTGGGGGATTTTGCACATGTGGAAATTAAGACTGGTCAGAACGTCAACCGC